CAGCTCCTTCGCACTGCCGCTGCTGCCGCTGCTGCTGCTGTCGTTGCTGGTGCTGCTGTTGCTGTTGCAGCTGCTGCTGCTGTTTCTGCTGCTGGTGCATCCCGGCGCCTCGCCCTGGCAGTCCGCAACAGCAGGAGCAGGAGCAGCAGCAGCAGCAGCAGCAGCAGCAGCAGGCTTTGAAGCAGCTAGTGCAGCGCCAAAAGTGGCAAAGCGCAGCAGCTGGCAAAGGACGCCGCTGGGGGGGAAGAAGGGCAGCAGCAAAGGCCGGTTTGCTGCCAGCAGCAGCACCGAAATTAAATCATTTCTTGCTGCTCTTTGCCGCAGCGAAGGTGCTGGCAGCAGCAGCTGCTGCAGCCAAAGAGACAGCCCCTGCAGCAGCAAACGGCGCCCTTCGGGGCCCCCGCGGGGCCCCGAGGGGCAGTGCTGCAGCAGCAGCAGCAGCAGCTGCAGCACGAGCTCCTGGCGCGTCCACCAAATGTGTGTGGGGCTCAAGGCACTTCCTGCTGCTGCCGCTGCTGCTGCTGCTGCTGCTGCGGGGTGCTGCTGCTCTGCTGCTGCGCCTGCCTGCTGCAGGGCTTTGCTGCTGCTCGCCTCTGCCTCTGTGGGGCCCGGAGAGCTGCCTATACACCTGAAAATGAGGCAGCAAAATGTGCTGCAGCAGCAAAGGAAGTTGGCTAGCTGCGGCTGCGCGGCGAAGAGCAGCAGCACGCGCAGCAGCTCGAGTTCTTCTGCTGCTTCCAGAGTTTCTGTTTTTGATTTCAATTCAATTTCTTTTTTTAAATTTAATTTATTTTCTTTTTCCAATTCCATAAAACTCTCCTCTTTTCCCCGAAGAGCAGCAACGGCGTTGCTGAGGGCCTCCTGCAGGTAAGCAGCACCTGCGCTGCTGGCAGCAGGAACCCTTTCGCTTGCTGCTGCTGCAGGCGCTGCTGCTGCTGCTGCTGCTGCTGACGCTGCAGCGGACCTTGCTGCTGCAGCTGCCTCCGAAGGCACAGCTGTTGCTGCTGCTGCTGCACCTGGGAGCCTGGTGACACAAAAGAAACAGCTAAAAGGCTCTCGGTGAGGTCCGGCAGCAGCAGCAGCAACAAGAACAGCAACAGCAGCAGCAGCAGCTGGGATAACGAAAGCAGCAGCAGCAACAACAGCAGCAGAAGAAGCAGAAGAAACAACAGCAGAAGCAGCAGAAGCAGCAGAAGCAGCAGAAG